TATTCCATAATAGGCCAATATGCGGGAAGCGGAGATAGGAGTTATAAATGGGAAATTTAATTTTTTTTTTGCCGACTTTATTTAAAGGTTATGCAATGGCCTGTTCAACAAGCATTTTTTGTTCAAATAACACATGCGTTTATAAAATTAATTTTTAATAACGGCATTCTTTCGGTATCGTAACACGGCAACTACCCAAATATTATTAAAATCTTATTTATTCTGGAAAGCCTGTTTTGCTCTCTTTAATTTATGCTTTTTGAAATGCGGAATGAATATAAATAAAATCTCGAAAAAAATATTTTTTATAACTTAGAAAATGTCTAAAACTACTGTTATATCTAACACAGTCGAATTTTAATATAATCAGCAAAACAAAACTTTGTAATTTAATGTCTGTATTTCCTGACCCAGTTCCGATAGAGGTATGTCGTGAAATATTTTTTATGGCATTTTAACCAAGATTTACATACTAGAGTAGGTAATATGTCAAAACATCACAATAGGGACCACCCTGTAGAAAAAATATAGTAAAGTAGATTGAATTTCAATTTATATTCAAGTACAAAATGTAACATTATAGATACAAAATATCTAAAATCAATTGCATTTCGAACTACTATACAGCATTTAAGACTATATCCGATTGTACAATGATATTTTGTTAAAAAATAACTATTGAATTTGAAAATAAAAACAAAAAAAAACAAAAAAAATATTCACTATATTTTTACTTTTGTTTTACCTTTTCATGACCCCCGCTCGCTAGATTTCTAAACGATTTCATTTTATTAACCCAATTTTGACTCCTTTTTTACTCTTTTTCTCTACTTTTTCTTTATGTATTTGAATATGCTTGCTCTATTTCGAATATGGTGAATTATTTTTCGGTTTTTTTTTTTGTAATCTTATAAAATAGCATGTCAAAATGCATACAGGTGTATGATAACAAATGTAGTAGTATAATAATTGTAGATTTGTAGTTGAAATAAAAAAAAAAAAAAACTGAAAAAAAATTTGATTAAATAAAAAATAGAACAAAATTTGTAACAGAAACTTTTTATTATTCGAATAGGGAGAGAAAGTTTATGAATCATAAAACATACATACATAGTTGTTAATTAATATTGAATAATGTAAAAACAATTTATAAGAATTAAAATGTGACACAGTTATACCGTGGCGATATGAGAGACTATTTACTCTTATACCACTGTCTATACTGTAAATTTTTATTCTCACGTCAAACTGTCAAATAACTCACATTATGACGTATTCATCAGTGAAAGAAAGTGAAATATTCAAATGCTACATGGTTACATGAGAGACCATTTACTTCTCTATCACTGTCTACTGTCGATTTTTTACTCTCATGTACAAATTGTCAAATATCTCTATTCATGACGTATTCATTAGTATTGGAAATATTTCAAATGTCAAAATGTCAAAACAATAAAAGTAAGTTACGAACATTAAAATTTTTAATAATTTAATTATTTTTTAAAGAAAATTTTTGTAATATATAAGAGTATGTAATACTTCTTAAAGTTTATTTACTAACTTAATAAAACAAAAAAACCAAATTTAATTTGACACTATCTGTCAAATTATTTTATTCGTCTGTCAAAAGACTACCTCGAATTACTTCCTTGTACCATTCACTATAGCCACTTGACTAGGCTTACCGGTAGGAAATATGTACGAGTATTGGCATTGTTTAAAAATATGTGTACAATGGCACACAAATTAGTTGACTGCGTCATCTTCTGCTTAATCTGCAATTTTCCTTATTATTTTTGAATTCCAGTACAAATTTGTTACCAGTATCTTTATTAGTGAAATTTAATTCTCTCTTACATGTAAATTCAATTAATTTGTTAAGCTACCGTATAGCAAAATCGAACTGATTAATGCACAAATTAAACTTTTCATTTGTATTTGTAATGTTATACAAAAAAAATAAGAAAACATTGTTATATTATGACTGTTATGTTATGTAAGTATATATTTCGTATTTCAATTAAAAATAGAAATAATTTTTCATCTTTAACCTGGTACCATTGTACTTAATAACGTAATGAATACGAATTGCATTATTTCTTTCAGAATTGTATTTTTTCTTATTAGATTAAAAAAAATTTAAATTTTGTATAACAATTTCTTACCTTTCATATTTTCTATCAATAATCTCAAATGTAATAAAGGAAATAAAAACTTTCGAAAAATGATTATCAAAATATTATTAATAAATTTATTAATACTTTAATTATAATAATAATGATAACTATTCTACAATTCGTACCTTTAGCGAAATGAAAATGACTCTTCCGAATAACAAATAAGAGTTGAATTTCACCTTCATTTTTAAGAGAGTTCAATGGTAACAAAAACTTGTTCGCATATTATTGCTCATAATACAAAAATTTAACATTTCTAATATCATGTTACCTATTATTGACACAAGACATAGGTTTCTTATATTGTATTATAAAATAAATTTAATTATAAAAATTTAAACAATTGTTATATTGTCAACTTAATTTTTCACGCAGTTACAAAGAGTTAGTATCGTCGTTTTTGAAAGAGATCATTTGAAAATTTCACTTTTCATACTTGTCTATATGTGTGATACATTTTGAGTATTCTTTAAATCAACATAGCATGAAAATTATAAAAATCATTCTTGAATATATCGTAATGCCGTGTAATTATAAGAGTGCTCATAATATATGCAATTTTAAATTACACTCTTAGTCTTAAATAGATATTATATACTTAATTATAAAACGGTTCTTTGTTACACACCTGCTCTCTAATAAGAGATCTGTGAATATTATTATAGTAGAGTGTAATATGAATCCAATTTAAAATATAAACTTGCAATACTTATGTATATATTAAATAGTGTCCCAAAGCAAAATAGACTGTCATCATATTGAAATTATTTTGCATTCATTTTTGTCTTTATTTCATGGAAAAAGTTTCAAATTTACTCTTGAATGAATGAAAAATTACAAAGTTTTGGATTATATTACACTGAAATAATATACATATATATATGAAAACAATAAATAATATAAAAAATATAAAAATAATATAATATAAAAATATGAAAACAGAAACTTTCGAATTTGTTATACGATAATCCTTTTACATTTAATTTTATTGTCATTTAAACTTTCACTTTAACGTGGGAGGAAATTTGGTTTCTATATTAATATTTTCACATACATACATACACATATGTAAATAATTATATAAAAATATAAAATTGTTGGTGGATGAACTTTGTATACAATTAATAAGAGAGACTTTTACTTTTAATAATAAAATAATTTTTAGATGCTTTAGAAAATTCAAAATGGTAGGGGGGAGGGCGCTTTACTTTATTTTTTTAATTTTCCTTTTGCCTTTCCTTCTTGTATTTTTAAAGTTTATATTATTAAAATAATTGTGTGAACGTTACAAAAGTTCGTTATCTGACAAAATGTAATTAAAAATTAAACAGATTTATTTTTTATTTATGATTTTTAATTTTTTTATTTCACTAATGAAACTAAAATATACAAAAGTTCATAAAGCTTTTTGTTTTGCATTGCGCTTCATCTTGTTTTCATACCTTCAAAGTGCCATTGTGTTTTGTTGTTCAGAAAAAAAAAATCCAAATTAGAATAATTTACAATTTTAATCTCATTAAAATTGAGAATTCCCATGAAATTGCTTTCCTACGAGATGAATTGATTTCATAATTATTATTATATATGAAATAATATAATTAAATTAATTTATGAGAATTTTTTTAATGCATAATATTTTAATATTTTGCGATATAGGTAGGGTAAGGTGTGGATCGAAAGAAAAACAGAAACACCTTGTAAAACTAGATTTCTATAAAATTATTTTTAATTCCCAATTTTATTGTATGTATATACTCGTACTATAAGTATACATCTACAATTTAAAATATGTCTAAAGCAGTACATCACATCTATATATATGAGTACTAATGAAGTTGAACATATTATCATCACATCATATTCTAATTGTAATTAAAAATTTCTCTTTCTTATTTTATTGCAATAGAAGCATATTAAGGACAACATTACAGGGAGGTCGTTCGACCTGAGCAAAAAAAACTTAAAGTTAAGGGGCTTGCATAAAGCCAATACCGTTGTGTGGAAGTGAAATATAGCACACAAATCAGGCCAATTTTCCAATAGTGACCAGGTATTCATAAATAATTGCCTCAGAAAAATATGTTGTATTTTCTGATCAAGAAGAATTTTCAATTGTGGAATTGTGTGAGCTGGCAAGTGAAATGTCCGTAATCGCAAAGAAAAGAACAACAAGAAAATAGCGGTGACTAGGATATACGCTAAAGAGACCACAAGTTGGAATATTACGTCTAGTATTAGAATGGGACTCACAAAGAAAACCCAAAGTAGGAGTGTCGAAAATGACTGGGCGTAAAACAATAAAAACAAAAAAATATCGAAAGCAGTAAAGCATCTAGCAAACATCAGAGTGCGTTGAAAAGGCTATGTGCCCTACCCTTTCAAAGGAACGCGTTAACAAATCCCGTACAAAATTAGGAGCCTCAAAGTAGAGTCCAATTTGATTTTATTAAGTTCTTCTAAAGCATAATTTGAAGTTTTTATTCGCCGATAAATATAAATTTTAAGCTAAGATATTTTTCGTGAATTTTCTTAAAAAATAAACAATGGTACTTAATTGCTTGCCAATAGTAAAATTTATTCCAGTTATAAGGAAAACATTGTCTGAAAACAATTGAAACGTTTAAAGCATAGACAAAATCTCAAACGTTACCATTTCGACATGTTGCTAGGAAATTTCCTAAAATACTAGTTATTAAATTTCCTTTTTAAATCTCATGTCCATATTAAATTTTTTTACAATTTTCTTTTTCTACAAACATACTTACATGTATACATACTCTTAAATAAACTTAATAATCCTTTATTATATTATTTTACTTTTAGGAAAATAACCTGTAAACTTTTTAACATCAACAATAAAAGGAGTAAAAAAGTAAACAAAAGAAAATAAGAGAAAAATTCATCCTTAAACATTTTCTTTCGATAAGGATACAAAAATAAATCAATTTTGATGGCTATGTAGGCATTCACACTATAATCTATATACATGCAAACTGAAGGAGTAAATGACAGGTAAAAGGAAATTTTTATTTAAAGAATATTTTCAATTGATAAAAACAAAATGGACGAAAAAATCACATTTAATTTATATTAATCAAAAGAAATTGTGTTGAATGTTGTTAGAACCCTTTTCCTTTAAATATAAAAATCCGATTAATTTTGTGTTTCAAATTACGATTCGAATTACCTTTTCGGAAATGATAAACTTTTTATATCGGAAATTACCCGAGGGAACAATATCTAATTATTTGATTGGTTAGACATATTAATGATCTTAGATTTGTAATTGTCAATAAATTTGTAAACTCAATTGCATAAATTTAGGCGTGTATTGATTTTTTGTTTTAAAATTGAAATTTACTTTGAAAATTTTTGTTTGCAGTCACAAACTCATTTCCCAAAGTCAATTAGGTTCGTAATGCTTTTGTCAAATTTTTACATAATTGGCATATTCACTTTAATAATTTTGTCTAATTTTTATATCAAAATTTTTCGGAAATATTCGTAAAGACATCACCAAGTTAAAACGATCAACTCTATCTGCCAATGGAGGAATACTTTCAAAGAAATTGTTTATAAAATATTCATGTTCATATTTTTTTCTATAAATTTCATTGATTCCTTGTCGGTTATTCTAATTTTAGTAAAAGGATTGTAAAGGCGCGACTTGAATAGTAAAACATGACTATACCATTTCCCTTTTATAAACATTTGGTTTTTTTTTTGTTATTTTTATAAAAAATATTTTCTTTTTTTCTTGTAGCCTACTACAAAAATTTAACTATACACTTACCTGTATCCTGTATAGCTAAGCGTACATAAATTTACTTTCTCTATTTTGTTTACTTTCATGTAAATTATTTATTGGTGGAAAAACAAACCAAACTTTAAATTTGTTATTCGCCTTACATTTTTTTTTTGTAACTTTTTTAATATTCAAATTTAAGTTTTTTTTCCACCCAACTTTGGTTTCTATCATGAATGTAAGAGAGAAACACAATATTCCTAATCCATTTTAATTTAAATTCTAATAAATATACAAAAAAATGTATATAAACTATATAGAGAATTTGAAATTCCCTTGAATGCAAAAATGTTTCAATAATATGGTGTACATAGATATGTTAAGGCAGAAAGAAAAATTGGGAGAAAAATACGGGAAAAGTAAGAGAAAATTCAGAACTAGATCACAAAGTATGCAGTGAAAAATTCATTTACTAAACTATTTTTTTATTTCTCTATACATAAAATATTTAAATAATTTTATTTTCATGTATCTCTTCTTCGTGTAAAATTTTTTCAAGATTATTTGCTTCTGTATTAAAGCTTATACAAAAGCAATTCTAAGACAGCCTTCACAACCAACAAAAATTTTTCCACAATTCTTCACCTCTTACCTATATATTTATTTTAAGTTGTATGAAAATTTAATATCAAACGTTTTCGTATTAAAAATTCTAAAACTGCATATTATTATTTTTCTACTGCTTGCATTTTAATATATGAATATTGAATATATGAATTAATAAACAAGGGCTGTTAAGTGTTATACCAGAAAACCAAAAATCGTAATTCATAACGTGATTATATTTTGGTTTAATAAATTTTAACATTTAGTCTGCAATTGATTTTTTAGAATATAATTACATTGTAACTCATTTTCTCCAATACCCTGATTATAGATGCTCCCTTACAATTACTTTTAATACAGTCTGCTTTAAATTGTAGTTTAAATTGAAATCACAAAAGGACCATTTTATTATAATAGATAAAATTCCATACAATTAAAATGGTTTACAATAATTGATTTCTATATAAGTGAGAATATAAGAATATATAACCATCAATCATTTACCTTATACATCAATCAATCGTAGAAATAAAATATTAAGTAAATTACAAATACATCGAACCATAAACTAATTATTTCCAGTTCAATGAACTTTTAAATTTGTTTTTCAATCCAATTAAATGAAGTTGAGTATTAAATTATATTTGTGTATATGTGTATTTAGTACATATAGAATTCAACAATAAAAAAATTTCAAATTCTTCATGTTAGAATTGAAAAATTTTATAAAATTTTTGAATATTTTAAGAAAAAAATGTTTGACATTATCATAAATGAAAATGATTTTCCATACTTCATTCAATTTTAAATGAAAAAAAAGAAAAGAAATTAACATTTATCACTTCCTAATAAAATTAAAATTAAATTATTCAAAATTCAAATGAATTCATGTTAGAAATTCGATTTTTCTCCGTTTCCCCATCCCCCAACTTTTTAAACTTGCAAAATTCTTATGACCTTAATAACAAATACGTAGTCTTTATTATAGAATTCTGTATTCTGTATGAATGTATATAATGTTATACTTTTCAAAAAATATAACCAGTATAATACGAGTATATGAAAAGTTAGTTAAAATTTATTCAAGAGTTTACTCTTATTGCTTTTGTAAACTGTATAGTTTTTGTAAACTATTGAAAAAGAAAATCTAAACCATGAATGTAATATGTATGTAGGTAGGTATGTGTAGAAATTTATAGTAATTTGATTAATGCTGCATGTACACGTTTTTTTATGCAGTTATTAATAGGGTTATGTGGGGTAAATATAAATGGTTGTCGATTTATAAACCCATTCGATTAAAACTAAATTTATTCCAGAATTGTCATTTATTTATCAATAAAAATAAGTGTTGGCAAATTATTGGTTCATTTTCAATTCCAAAAAAAAAAAATGCAGTTAAAGAAAAACAAAAATAATTTTTAAAGTTTTCAAAAATTCATTCCTCAATTTTCCTGAAATCGTTTATTTTGCTCTAAAACATTTTTTTAAAAATTTAAATCCTTGGTTTTAATTTGTGGAGGTCGTCAAGTCTGATAAACAGAATACTTAAAGTAATTACTTGTCGGTCGTTGCGTGAAAATGCTAGGTATATGGCTCCAATGTATATTAATTTGTTAATAAGAACGTCTAGTGTGGCTAGTTTTACTAGCTTAATACTTATTTATTTTTATAATACTTATATTTATTCAACAATAACTATGTCTAATAATAAAATATTTGTATAACATTATCAACAGAATTTAGAGCTGTTTAAAGTTCGAATTTTTAACTTAACCTTTATCGGAAAAAATACTTACCTCATTCAATTTTATTTGAGGTATTTAAAAAAAAACGTATGGTTTTTTAAAATTTTCTATATCAAGGGAATATAACGAAATCTCGCCATTTCAAATAATTTTTAATGTAATAATAAAAAAGCTGAAAATTAAAAATTTAACATATTTTTATTTTAAACGAGAAAAAATTGAGTTCATCGTGTTAACCCTGTGATACCAGTACGAGTTTGTTATTCTAATTTATGCAAAATTTCTGTGTATTGTGTTTTCAATATTTTCTAAGATATGGCCAAACTGCTATTGAAGTTATATGGCAGCTACCAGAAAGGGACAAGCAATTTCAACGACTTTTATCAAACATATTGGCCCTACAAATATATTTACTTGTGCGAAATTTTAATACCAAAGCTCTTATAGTTTCTAAGATATAGTCAAATAAATTTTGAAGTTGTAAAATTACTCGAACCAGTAATTTTTGAGTTATCGTTGAGGCGGACGGACAAACAAAGCTAAATCGACTCAGAATTCGACACTGATCAAAAATATACACTTGAGTCTATATCTCAGACCACTATTTCTTAGCGTTACAAACGGTAAGGCAAATTTAATATACCCTTCGAACAAACTTCAATTTTTCCCCCCAATTACCTATACTTGTATAACACTATTAATATTCATTTTACAAATACTTTCAAATTAACACACGTGTACGAGTATAACTTGCAGAAATAAATTATTCTTAAAATTATTATTGCAAAACTGTTTTTTTCTTTTTCTTTCTTTTTATATTTTACACCTCAAGTCTAAAACTTTTCAAGTTAAATAAACTTTTTATTTAAGGTTACGAGTATATAATCATGATTTTTTATTCAATTGGAAAAAAAATGAATAAAATGAATAAAATTATAAAAAATAAAATTTATAAAAATTCATAAAAAAAAATTTTCAAGGTTTTTCAAATAACCAATTTTTACAAAATTGCAAACTTTCATTGCGTTAACAAATCCAATTATTGAAGTGCAAATATATAGAATACCATGTAGAGAAAACTATTATAATTTCACATTCCTACTGGAAGTTTTGCATATTAATAAGGTTATTCTCATACCATATAGTGATAATGAAGGTTTCAAGAAGAAATTTCTTTCTTGTTATTCTTTTAAATTTTAATTATCTTAATTAAAATATACTTGATATTGAATTTTTCATTTTGATATACATATATAATATAGGCATAATGGTTTTGATAAAAATGCAATTTATAAATTAAATTTAACTTTTATAATTTAATATACATAAATATAAACATATTATATAATTTATTTAAATATATTTTTGTAAAATAAAATATTTTCAAATTTTAATTTTCATTTATTTTACACAAAGTCGTATACGAATAAGACCAAATCTGTTATACAATAATTTATACATAGCCATAGCACTATATACAATTATTATATTGTGTGAAAAACAATAGCTTTTATAATTATATTACATAATTGTACATAAATATTCCATACATACACATTTATTTATGAACATATATATATAACAATTTAACATGCAGATGTAAAACTCTTTTTGCCCAAAAAATTTATTTTAGAAAAATGTTTTGTTATATAAAAATATTTTAAATATTCTCTTTTCAATTAGAATTTTAATAATGGTAATAAGAAAATTTTTATGGTATTCTTTATCTGTACTATATGTATATAAAAAGTAAATGATTTTTGAAAAATATTTGATTATATCTAGAAAATTTAATGAAAGTAAAGAATATGATTCTTCCTTAAATTGCATATTACGTACATATGTATGTATGTTATGCTGATCAGAAAAAAAGTTTAAATTAATATTATTTAAAATGCATATTATTATCTTTG